ACAAAAAAAAATAACAAAAATCTAAAAAAAAAAAAAAGAATCTGAGCAGCATCTAAGGAAGCAGGAGAGCTAGAGAGATGGCTCATCAGTTTAGAGTCCAGTCCCAAAATCAGGCTGTTCACAATTGCCTGTAACTCCAGTTCCAGGGGCTCTGATACCTCTGTCTTCAGCTGTATGCACATGATGCACATAAACACAGACACATACATTAGATAGACGGATGGATGGATGGATGGATGGATGGATAGACATCCTTAAGTGGAAGTGGCATCAGACAAACTAGGCTGTGCAGAATTTGGCGGAGAAGATGAGAATTACATGGAAAGAGACATCCATCAACATTTCAGTTATCCTTACAACCCAGGAGAGGCACAAGCTATGATTTGTTTTGTTTTGATTGCTGTACTGGGGCTTGACCTCAAGGGCCTCATACATTTGACACCAATGTTCTCCCACTGACCTACATCATACCCAGCCCATTTTTAACTTTTTATCTTGGAGAGAAAAGATTAGGTCTTACTCATTTGTCCAGGCTAGTTTTGAACTCACTCTAAAGTGCAGGCTAGCCTTGCCTTGAGAGCTTCCTGGCTGAGCCTCCTAGTAGGTGGAGGGTAGACTGTGTCACAAGAGCTGGAGGTTTGAAGTTCCAAGTTACTGCTCTGTCCTTTATACCACAGGACACTGGAGCTTTAAGGAGCCTCTTTATTGCACAAGGCATTTAAAAAAGATAGTCAGATGACATCAGAGTACTACACTTGAACTGGCTCCACTCAGATGCTTGGATTCCTTTTCTTTAGCAAGCTCTTGCTATGTGGCCCCGGCTGCCCTAGAACTCACTCTGTAGACCAGGCTGGCCTCACACTCAGAGCTCTGTCTGACTCTGCCTCCCGAGTGTTTGTGGTTTAAAAGCGTGTGCCACAATTACACATGGCTTCCAGATTCCCTTTTATAGACTTACTGCCCTTAAATAAATGTAGAAATTAATCAGATCAATGTTGCGTCGACACTTTAGGACACTTTAGAACAACAACAACAAAAAACAATCCGTGAAACTCATTTCTGACATTTTCATTTTTGACAAACCAGGGATCAAAATGGTGGACTTGGTCAGAGGCAAGAAAGGTAGACTAAGATTAAAACAGTGACTGTACATGCTGTGGGACCCTGGAAACATGAAACCTTGGTTTCCTCAGCAGAACAGGAAGCTGCATGGGATTGGGGAATGAATGAGGTAACCGGAGGCACGGCAGCTACTCCAGAGCCACAAACACGAATCTTTCAAGCCAGCCTCCATATTGTCTAATCTGCTGAATTCTAGGCTCTGTTGTTTAGTCAAGACATCTTACCTTTCCCAGGAAAATGACAAAGTTTCCAAAGCAGTTAACAGACATGAGATGACTTGTATTCTTGGACATGATCTTGTGTGCGTCTTTTGCTGATGTACAAAAATCTGTCCCGTTAATGGCAGCCGCAGTGTAAGCGTTCTAGAACAAAATACATCAGTTACAAATATGATGGTTCCTGTCATTTTAAGATAACAGAACAACAACAATACAGACTTCATGGCTGTAAACCCAGCGTCTCCGCCCGAAACAAACAAGTTCAAAGTCTCCCTCAGTTTTTGACCATATTCAAATATATCTTCGTACTGTTGTGGCAAATGGAAAAGTATCTCTCATCCATACAGCAGGTTAAAGGTCCCACCACAAACATGGAAACAATGAATAAGCGTAAGTTATTTCTCACTACAGAGTAGGAGGGCAGGAAAGGGAGTCTGGGTACCAGGAAGAGAGCAGATCCTAGTGACCAAGGGTGTAGCTGGCGTGGAATTAGCAAGGGCATCAACAATTAGGGTTCCTTAGGCCTGAAAAATGGTATTGGTTCTTACTAGAGAACTGAGTTTCCTGTACAAATTAGGATCCATAGTTCAAAATCAACCAGCCACTCAGAAAAGTGCATGAAAGATAACTACTGTGTTTTTCAGATAGTTGATATCTGGAGTCTGGGCAAGAGTGGAGCAAAATCATTCCCTCAGGGAATGGTGGGTCCCCACAAACAGTTACACTGACAGAAGTGGGCTCCCAGGAACAAGACAGACCAGGGAATATGCATAACCAACATGAGGGTCAAGCCCCAGTACTGCAATCAAAACAAAACAAATGATAACTGGTGCCTCTCCTGGATTGTAGGGATAATAACTGAAATGTTGATGGATGTCTCTTTCCATGTAATTCTCATCTTCTCGACCTAATTCTGCACAGCCTAGTTTGTCTGATCCCACTTCCGCTTAAGGATCGCTGTCTGTCTATCCATCAATCATATTCATATATATATATATATATATATA